CTTGAAGGTGCTGCTATTTCACACCTTCTCATCCATCCACCCACCCATCCCCTGTCCTCAACCCCTCTATCCAGCTACTTATTCGTTTATCACATGCATCCACATATCTCTACATTCATCCTATCTATCTATCTATCTATCTATCTATCTATCTATCTATCTATCTATTCATTCATCCATCTTCCTCCATACCTACCTATCCACCTGTCTATTCATTAACTCATCTACTCATCTCTCTATCCACTCATCTTCCCGGTTACTTATTCATCCATTTGTCCTATCCAATCATCTATCTAGCCATATAGTCCATCTTTCCATTTATTTACCCATTTATCATCTTCATTTATCAATCCGCCTACCTATTCACCCACCCCACATCTATTCATTCATTCATTCATTCATTCATTCAAATTCATTCATTCTTCTCTGTCCCCATTCATTCATCCATTCAATTAATCTTCATCAAAGGCTATAAAGGCCAGACCCTCTACAAAGCCTGTAACATAGCAAAAAGATTAAGATTAATATCAATCTTCCTCTCAAGGACATTTGAAGTGCTTGTAAAGATGAAAATCACCAAAGCACCAAAATAAATGTTCCATGGTAGAAAAATAATAAACCTGGGAATCAGAGCACCCAGAACGGACATCACAGAATCCTATCCACTTTGTCATGGTTTGGGTTTTTTGCAAGGGGAATAATACAATACAGGATACATTGTATAAGATTATTTTATAATCACCCAAAGACTCATATACAGGAGTGCAAGAAACCTGTCCACACACTAAAGACCAAAGAATCCAGCTCAGGGCCTGGATCCTTATATCCTGCACGAGTCCAGCTGAAAACCTAGAGCCTATAACAATGCCTCCTACAAGTCCAACTGGAGGCCTAGAGCCCACGGTCCACTTCACAGATCTGCATAGGGAAGGCCAAAAAGTCAGTGGTGGAAGCTAGGAATTCTATGCCAGCGACATGAAGGATCTGTGCTAGCAGGCTGCGGGATCTGCACTGGAGCCAGGAGGCAACGCTCAAGGTAAGCACCAGAGCTTCTCCCATGAGTACCACAGCCATACTCAGCAACAGTGATGTCCCAAGCTCCTCCAGTGATGAGGAAAGCCAATTTTCCATCAGGAAAAACAATGATACCAGCTTCTCCCTGAAGTTGAGCAGTGTACCATCCTTCTCCTCCAGAGACAGGAATTGATGCTCAAGAAGAGGACCAGAGGGGCTGGTGAGATGGCTCAGTGGTCTAAAGCACCTACTTAGAGCAAGCTAAGCTAAGCAAAACCACAGCGACCGCGGTTCAATCCCCCAGCACCACATGCCAGCCAGCCCCGCGCCCTGGTGGGCTGAGCTGGCCACACACACACACACACACACACACACACACACACACACAAAAAAAATAAATAAATTTAATTAATTAAAAAAAAAAAAAAAGAAGAGGACTAGAGCTCCCCCAAAATGAACTGTAGCCATTCTCAGTGACAATGCGGTCCCAAGCTTTTTTTCCAACAAATTCATCAGGAAAGCCAGCTTGATAAAGTCCTCCAGCAGAATAACAGAGAGAACCAGGAGCTTCCAACACCTCCAACTGCTTCTCCAAACAGCTTCCCTAGCAGCCCCTCATCAGCTTCTCCAGTTCTGCCTCTTTCGCTGCTGGCAAAGATCGTCAAGCGGGCCTCCCACACCCAGCACCATGCTAGTTCAGTTCAGCTGAGTGTTACAAGTTGCCCCCCAGTTAACAATCCACTACACACTTGGTTGCTCAGGACAGTCCCCAAACAAATACAACACACAAGTCACAGCACATTCCACTGTAGCAGACAGTGCCCAGAAATTAAGTGATTCCTGTATTCCTGTGTAACACTCTGGTGTCATAAGTGTCCTGGGAAACACTTGGCTATCTGGGGAGATGATATAGATACATAGACATAGATAGATATATATTTGGGAGGAGATTGCTTTTGGAGACAGGGACTCACTATATAGTTCAGGCTGGCCTTGAACTTACAATGTAGCCCAGGCTTGCTTCAAGCTCACGGGGATCCTTCTACCTCCTTTAGCCTACAGGTACATGCCAGCACACCTGACTTCTCTGGGCATTTTGGGTGACACTGATGTGGAGAGGTGCTACTGGCAGGCCAGAGCTGCTGCTTCACCCCCTACAGTGTGCAGCACAGCACCCCCTCCATGATAAAGAATTACCCCTGATGTCAGCAGTGCTGAGACTCAGAAACCCACTCCCACAGCGTCCGTGCACCAGACCCTGAGGGAGAAACATCACTTGTCCCGCTCGGCCTAGGCTCTCTCATGGCTTTCTCCAAGACACTTGACATCTAGCTTCCCTTAATCCAGGGCGGACTGCTGCTAGGAAGTGTCTGGGGGAAATCTACTTTTCAAAAAATTGCCATTGGCATATGTCTGTGGTCTGTAATGAATCCACTCATCATGGGGAAGTGGTATCCATCCATACTGCTTCTTCATCCCTTGTACTTCCTCTTCCTTTCCTTCCTTCCCCCTTGCCCTTCCCCATTTGTCTCCAGTCTGTTCCTTGTTTCCTGTCACCTATCTTTTATTTTGCCCTTTATTTATACTTTGGGTTCCTCCTACAAAAGAAACCATGTGGGCTGAGGAGATGGCTCAGTGAAATAAGCATTTCCCTGGCAAGTGCAAGGACCTGAGTTCAATCCCTGGTTCCGCAAAAAAAGAGAGAAAGAAAGAAAGAAACCATGTGACATTTAACTTTCTATAGGAAATTTACTTTCTGATTATAAAAAGATCAATTGCTGTTTATTTATTTGTACCCTCCTTCTCCTCTCCCCCAATTCAGATTCAGACACTCACATGTCAACATGAGAAGGCCACCTTGGGTCCAGGATGGGACAGATGCAAGACCCAGATGTTGACATCATGAAGACGCAGAGAGGAAGGACGCCCGGCCACACTGGTGGCTGTTGTCGAAGGTGTCTTTATGAAGACTTTCCCCGCAGCATTTGCCCAGCAAGTATGCACTGATGACTTCTGCGCTGGTCACCCTGTGATCTTTTTAAGACCAGCAAGGCCAGAGAAACCACCCATGTCCCTGACCTCACTCAGGGAGTTTAGATTCTGGTGAGGAGAAGCCACACTGTCTGGTCAGAGCAGTAAGGAGAGCTGCAAAGTGGAGCTGGGTCCAGGGGAGGTTGAGTCTACCCTGGGTCGCCACACAGTAACACGAGATCAGAGTCTTAGAGGGTCTGGTCCGCTTGAGCCTCTTACTTAACACCTGTCCTTCTGGAGTAACCTCAGGGGATGGGTACTGGTGTCCCCAGCAGAGGGTTTTGCTACTTATCTCCCCCTCAGAACCTCTGATGAAACCCTGAGGTTCAAAGACAGCTACAGACTTTCAAGGCACAAAGCTTGAAAAAGGAAGAAGAGGCAGGCCCAGGATGCTAATTCGGTGGTATTTTATGAGAAAAGCAGAGTCATGGAGCCACGATCACACACAAACACTCAGGCCGCAGCGACTGCCCCACTGTCCTGAGACTAAGGTGAGCTCTTTCCCACAGATGGGTGCCTCAAACCTGGCCACTGGAGCCTTTCTTTCCGTACTCTGCCATATCTGTAGCCAAGCCGAGGGCCAACAATAGTCAGCTGGGTCAGATCCCAGGTCAGATGATGATTTTTTTTTTCCGATAATCCTGAGCCTCAACTTTCTCTTCTATCCTTGGAGATAACGATCTTATTTCAGATAGCTGTTGTGAACATTAAAGGAGATAGTAGGTGTAGAACGTCTATCCATCTAACCATCCATGCATTCATCTGTCCATGCACTCGTCTGTCCATCCATCCAAACATCCAGCTAGTCAGCCAGCCAGCCAGCAACCGGCCTATCAAATGCTATCTATGTGATGAGCATGCCCAGGGGACAGGGGACATTCAGATAGCTTCCAGAGTAGCCAGACCTGGAAGACAGCAAGAGACTGTCAGGTGAGTTATGGTTAAATATATACACTCTTTGAGAGGGACCCTATGGGGCCTTCTCCTCACCCCTGGCCTAGGCTGATGACCTGGGCTACCTTCCCAGGGAGCTGACTGCCTTTGCCTTTGGGAGCCAGTGAGTCTCTCTGTGGCTACAGGTTCAACCAAATTTTACAACTGTAAACTAAGGACTATCTAGACCCTTATGTTATCTCCTCAATTTTCCTCTCACTGTGAAATTAGCTCTATTTTACAGGTGAGGAAATAGGTTCAGAGAGGGGAAACCACTCGCCCAAGGTCACATGGCTGATGGATAGGAGGTCCCCCGGTCATTTCATTCTTTAGCTTCTGTTATCTTCACTGTACCACTGCATAACCCAGTTGGCGGGGGGCAAACCCAATGCCCCAGATTTTTCTATCCTTCATTGGCCAACCATCCCCAGGTAAAAATGGTAACATTTAGAGTCCTTATGACGCAGGTGGTGTTAGGGGTTTTACACCCTTTTTCTGGGATGACCATAAGAGACAATTCCAGTATTTTGTCTCCATTTTAGACAAAGCAATGGTGGCATAAAACTGTTAAGTAATTTGACTAGTATAACACAACCAGAACTGGGATCTACTGCATTCCAGAGGCCAAGCCCTGTGTGTGTGTGTGTGTGTGTGTGTGTGTGTGTGTGTATATGCACACATGTGAGATCTAAGTATGTTTATAAAATGCACTCCACTTTTTTTAAAATTCAAAATGTGTCCCTCCAAAAAGCTGGGGATATAGCTCAACAGGGTAGTGCCTTAGTTTGATTTCTGGTACCAAAAAACCAGGGCAAAACAAAAAGGAAGGAAAAGAGAAGAAAAAACAAAACCAAACCCAAAAGCATTCTCTTAGACCTCCCTCTCAGAAGCCAAACTGTCACCAGTTTCTTTGTGCCCCGCCACAGAATTTTCTATGCAAATACAAATGTGTGTACCTACAAGCGTCTATATCCGTTTTGCTATCAGAAACTGTACACAAGTTTTCGGCTTGCTGTTTTCACCTACTGCGGGCCTGGAGGTTCCTCCCCATCTCTACACAGATCAGCCCGTTTTCCTCCAACAGTGACACATCGTTCCTCCACAGATTCCCCGGTCTTCCCTCCACTGACGATGGTCAGTTGGCTACTTCCAGTGTGGGGATTCCTGCAGTGGCAGAACCCCAGCCCTTCCTGTCAGACACCCCCAGCGGGAGACCATCCTGTTTCCTGTGCCTCATGCTGGGCAGTACTTTGTGCCTCTTCTGCTTGGATCATCCAGAGCCAGTGGAGGTTCAGAGGGACCAAGCTGGCTCTCCCCAGGGCTTCACTGCTCCAATCCGACCCCAGCTGGACCAAGCCCCGACTAGATGACCTAGGCCCCGGCGTGCTCTGCTAGGCCTCAGATTGTCTGCAGCAAAGAAGTTGCTGCATTTGGAGCCGCACCTTCTGTGGAATCTTGGAAAGACTGCCGGGCTGCATTTCCAGGAAAGTCTTTTTGCAGGTCAAAGAATCAAGGCCCTGCCCTGGGGCTCCTGCAGCCCCTCCAGCACTTCCTATACTAAACAAACCAAGCCCTTGTAGCAGCCAAGGGGTCAAATGTCGCCTCTCGCTTTCTTGTCCTTCTAGAGGAGCCCTTGGAGAGTGTGGGTGTCCATCAGAAACACACTGGGGGTATCCTATGTCCTTCAAAACCCGACCCACCCTACCCAGTCCCCTTATCCCTGGCCCTTTCCACACTCACCATAAGGACCCTCGACTGGGGCCCCGAGGGGCACGTTCACGCTGACCATGGCCAAGGGAGCAGCCCAGCGGGTCACCGGGGGGCATGGAGGAGCCGGAGCCCACAGCCAGCAGCAGCGGCGCCACCAGAAGCCAGTCCACCAGGAAGGCAGTGAGCGAGGCCAGCTGCCACCACCCGGTTATCTTATTGATTCTTCTAATCACCCAAGGTGGGTGGATACGTTAAAGAGTAACCAGTCACTTAGGGAACCTGCGGCTGGGGACTGTCGCTATTGTCACAGCAACTGCGACTTGGCTATATCCGAGGTCCACTCAGGCCCCAGTCCTACCTTCTGAGGTTGGGGGCACCTGGAGCTAGATGTTAATGACATTAGACCCCCAGTTTGAAGAAAGGAACCTCGCAGGAGGGGCTGGGGGAGGTGAGAGTCCGAGTTGGGTGGGGCTTTATGGCTCCCAAGTGTGGGTGTGGCACCATGCAGGAAAGTGGGGAAGCTGAGGGCGTGGCGGAGGAGAAAAGAGGGAAGAACTGGGTTTACTGTATTGAGCGCCTCCTGATGCTGGCCGCTGCCCATAGGCTGTGCCACCTTTAAACTAAACCTCGAGAGGAGAAAATTGAGGCACAAAGGGGAATTGGTTCCGTGGGGTCTCACAGCGATCACAGAGGGGAGCCAGAGTTACAGCACCTGGTCTTTCTCTCACTTAACAGCTTTACTGTAATCTTCTGTATGCCAGGCTCTGAGCTAGACTTTAGTGACTGAAAGAAACAAACCAGGTATCATCCGGGCACCCTTGGAACATGTAGAGTAATGGGAGAGATGGGCCTTACTTAGATCATCAAAGTTATTATTATTGAGATGGGCCTGAGGATGTAGCTCAGTGGTGGAGTGCTTGGCTTGCATGCAAGATGCCTGAGGCGGATCTCCAGCACCATGCGAGCGCATGCGCGCGCGCGCACACACACACGACACAGTGGTATTTTTTACAAACTGGTGGGTGCTGGGAGGAAGCTGCTAGCACAGTGGCGGGCTCCAGGCCGTGGGCACCTGACCCCTCCCCTCCTCCGTGCTGCCCTACTGACACTGCACGCGGGCTCTGGAGACCTCCTGCACTTGCTTTCTTGCATGTTACACACTGGCCATTGGCCTTTTCAGTGCCTGCCCATTCCTCCCCGATTCCAGGGATGAACCTCACTGCACTGCTGGGGATTCTGAAATCAAGGTCCTTGTAACATTCAAGAGAGCGCAAATGCGAGCTGTGGAATTCGGAACTCAGAGGAGTTAGTCTTTCCCTCTGCCATTTTCTTAGTGTGGGGTCTGGAAAATTATTTCATTTCTTTATCACATAATCCCGCCTCCTGCCTTGCTCCATCTCTAAAACTGCTACTGTCCAGCTTCCTCTCTTTCCAGGGCTCTGGTTCAACCACTTCCGGTCCCTATAATGGCCAGGCACAGGCTGTTTCCTGTCCTTTGCTCTTAGTGCTCCCTCCTGTCACTCTTCCTGCCTTGCCTTTCCTTCCTGTCCGGTTTAAAGCCCCCAGCCCATTCTTTAGTTCCTCTCTTCAGTTCCTGTGTTCAGTTCCTTTGTTGACAAAACCCCAACATGGGATGAAGTGAAGTATTTCAGTATTTCATACTTTTGGGAGGCTGGGGATTTGGCTCAGCGGTAGAATGCTTGCCTAGCAAGTTGGAAACCCTGGGTTCGGTCCTCGGATCCAAAAACAAAAAATAAACCTTCCCTAAAAAACAATTCAACCAAAAAAAAAAAAACAGTAAAATCAGACCTTCTTCTTGTCTCCACCCAGGCAGCCAATCAGCGAACTTCTGGGACTTTTTTGTTTGTTTTTTCAGTGTTTTTTTTTTTTTTTTTGTATTTTAGGGAAGGGTCTACAGGGTGTTCAGGGTCTCACTACCAGATCAGACTCTAAGTGATTTGCCCGTTTACAGCCTCCCAAGAGCTGGGATTACAGGCTCGCGCCACCATGCCCAGTATCCATAGCTTACTCCATATGCCCCGGGACTATCATAAACCCATGATCACTAGCATCCAACTGCCCACAACTGCTACTTCCGTTTCCCTGCTCCTTGACCTCTTAGTCTTTACCTCATCTCAGCTCTTTTTTCTCTTGAACCTTTGCCACTCTCATCCTCAATAGGATAAGAGTTCACCTTCCTCACAGAGAAAGCCAGGAGCCTGAAGCAGACCGCTGGGCCCCCACGTCAAAGGTGCCAGTTCACTGGCATCTGCACTCTGTCCTTTGACCAATTGTACCCTTGAAGCCTAACCTCCCCATGAAAAGTCAGTTCACTTCTCTGTTTCCAGTGCCACCGATGAGATTCAAACCACTGAATTTTTTTTTTCTAATACTGAGGATTGAATTTAGGGCCTTCACACCAATCCATACTCCCTAGTCTTGCCCTACTTTTTATTTTGAGACCATGTGTCACTCTCCAACTTGTGATCCTGTGGCCACAGTTTCCCCAAACGTCAGGATTACAGGTGTGCATCACCATGCCCAGCAGATGTTCAAATCTCTGACTCAGGTTGCTATTCAGATAACCTTTTGGCTGATCCCAGGGGCCTCTTGGCAGTCACCAAATCTTTTCTCCATTAATGGGCTGTGTGTGGAGTCTAGCTTCTTCCTCATCTTCCTGGCATGCATGAAGCTCTGGGTTGGATCCCTTGTAACACACACACACACACACACACACACACACACACA